AAGAGATCTATCCTGGTTCATAGGCGAGGGCATTCATGTTCATAGGATTGATGTCTTCTTTCTCAGGAGAAGGATGTGCACTCAGGCTTGATTGGACCCCTTCTGATCTGCCGCAGCGATACACTGAACCCTGCTCATGGGCGACAAGTGACAGTGCAGGAATTCGCTCTGTTTTTCACTATTTTTGATGAGACTAAGAGCTGGTACTTCACTGAAAACCTGGAAAGGAACTGCAGAGCTCCCTGCAATATCCAGAAGGAGGATCCCACTCTTAAAGAAAATTACCGTTTCCATGGTAACATACCCCACCCCCAGTTATTACTCAGGCTGAGGCTTGGACAGTGAATTGAGAGTGTGTGTATAGGAGTGGAATCCTTGTAGGAATCAATATTTTTTACTGGAGGAGAGGGAAAGAAACTTCTGTAATGGATTTCAACAGCCTTCTCTGTGTTCTCCTCCAGCAGTCAATGGCTATGTGATGGACACACTGCCTGGCTTAGTAATGGCTCAGGACCAAAAGATTCGATGGTATCTGCTCAGCATGGGCAGCAGTGAAAACATCCATTCTATTCATTTCAGTGGACACGTGTTCACTGTACGGAAAAAAGAGGAGTATAAAATGGCAGTCTACAACCTCTACCCAGGTATGAGCTAATTTCTGCCCTTTTTGTCTACCTGCTGACGTACTGAGTACTTACTTTGCATGGTACAGGCACTGGGGAAGCAATCCATGAACAAAGCCAAGAAACTCCCTGATCTCAGGTAACTTACTTTTTCAAGTAACATAATAAATAAATTAGCCCAGAGGGGTGCCTTGGTGGCTCAATGGGTTAAACCTCTGCCTTTGGCTCAGGTCATGATCTCAGGGTCTTGGGATCGAGCCCCGCATCAGGCTCTCTGCTCAGCAGGGAGCCTGCTTCCCCCCTCCCCGTCTACTTGTGATCTCTCTCTCTGTCAAATAAATAAATAAAATCTTTAAAAATAAATAAATAAATTAGCCCATAAACAGGATAATTTCAGATACAGATAAAGGAAATAGAACAGAATAAATGAATAATTAATGTTGTGGCACTTTCCTGGGCTGGAGTTATGGTTTCCACCGTCTCAAATGCACAGGTAGTTCTCCATGGGGTGAATTGTTTATGTCCATAACCAGTATAAGCACGACTCACAGTGTTGATCAAAACACAGCTTTAGTCTAGGTCTCCACCGCCCCTTTAAAACAGGTTTAATAGTGGGAGCAAACTTTCCCTGTTTCTGTGTTAAAATTCCAAGAAGTTCAGTGACTTTCCTGCTCACTCTTCAGTAATAAGCTCTCCTGCGGCTGCTTCACGTCACACATACGCCTCCGACCCCGAACTGCAGGGTGCACTCTGAGAGGCCTATCTCAGGCAAGGATGGTGTGGTTGAGCCCTCTCTTCCTCTGCCTTACGTTTATTGTGTGTCCTCCCCAACCCCTTCATGGCTGCTGCTTTGAACTCCAGCATGGAAATGGTAAAGGTTAAATGCTAGGACAATTCTTACCTACTTACAACGGACACCTTTATTCTAGGGAGTCACTTGTGACTCATGCCTCAGCCCCTCGGTACCCCCTCTAACTTCTTACTGCTGGGTTGCGTTAGCCCTCAAGGCAGCCCTAGTGGCCTAGGTCCACAAGGACCTCACCCTCACTTCCCTGGCCCAGGGAGCTCACATCTGGTTGATGGGGGGGACAAAAAACCACAATAACCTTTGGCACTCTGAGAGTGTAGTGGCTCTCCCCTGTTCCCCCACCAGCCCATCTCTCCCATTTCCCAGGGGTGGGGGCTATCAGAACTCAATCTTCAGTACCTCCAAATTGGCGGGGTCACATAGCAAAGCACTTTGGCTTTGAGGGGGTCAAGAGTGGTAGAACTGACTTAGGTGGCTCTCCTTGGGTGTTCTGCATAAACCAATGTATCTCGTGCTCATTTTTTAGTAAAAAGAAATAATTTCTGTTCCTTCTGTTTTTGAAAAGGTGTTTTTGAGACTGTGGAAATGCTACCATCCAAAGTTGGAATTTGGCGGATAGAATGCCTTATTGGCGAGCACCTACAAGCGGGGATGAGCACTCTTTTTCTGGTGTACAGCAAGAGTAAGTAGCTTTCCTCCTTCCTAGGATGGTTGCTTTTATCAAGAAACAAATACAAGCTCACAGTCATTAACAAATCTATAATGAATATTGCTGGTAGAAATCATCAGAGTCCTCAGGGAAGAGCAAATATGTGCGAACCTGAAGCTCTAAGTATTTAACAAACTGGTGCTAAAAATAACTTCGTTCTCACAACTTTGTGAAGCTCCAGCATCTCCAAGAGCAAAATTTGAAACTGAATTTTGGTTCAGTTGCCAAAGATAACTTACAAATATGGCTTGGAAGAGTTCAAGATTCAACCATAAACAAGTCAGAGTGTGGATGGTTCTATTAGAGTGAATTAAATGACATGGTTAACAATACAAAGTATCAACCATTGCTTGGTATTCGCCCGTTCTCACTGGCTTGCCTTTGTGAAGGCTGAATTTTAGGTACTGCTAGCTGTCACAGCCCTCTCCTTTGATTTCAGAGTGTCAGACTCCGCTGGGGATGGCTTCTGGACACATCCGAGATTTTCAGATTACAGCTTCAGGACAATATGGTAAATACCAGTATTTTGTCTCCCAAGATCTGGGCTGATAGTATCTTTTTTATTTCTGTTGGATTTAGATAACCCATCCATCTCCATCCTTCTATTACATCTACTCCACAAGTGCGTCTTAAATCCATTTTCTCTTCTCTGATTGCCACTGTTCAAGCTACTATCACTTCTCATGACCACCTCCTTACATGTCCTACCTGCATTCCCTGGTGCTCCCCTTGAGTCCATTGTCTTCACTCTGCTATGAGCAGCGACAGGAAAGCTTGAGCAGGATCTGCAGTCAGCTCCCAGATACTGTTTTAGAGCAACAGTAAGCAAACTATGGCCTAAAGGCAAAATCCAGCCCACCAATTATTTATTTTTTTTATTTTTTTATCAACATATACTGTATTATTAGCCCCAGGGGTACAGGTCTGTGAATCATCAGGCTTACACAGTTCACAGCACTCACCATAGCACATACCCTCCCCAATGTCCATAACCCAGCCACCCTCTCCCAACTGCAGCACCACCACTTATTTTATGTAGCCTTCAAACTAAGAATTATTTTTCTAGTTTTAAATGATTGGGGGAAAAAAGAAGAAGAATGTCTCATGACATGTGAAAATTATGTGAGATTCGAATTTCAGCATCTGTACCTAGAATCTTGCACTGACACATACAGCCCCACTGACCTAAAGTGGCTGCTTTCACTCTACCACAACAGTTAAGTAGCTGAAACCAAATGATCGGCAGAGCCTAAATTATTTATTATCTGGCTGTTTACAAAAGAAGGTTTGTCAACCCTGTTTTAGAGGGAACAAAGTGCCATTTGAAAACAAGGCCTGATGAGACACCCGGGTAGCTCAGTTGCTTAGGCATCTGCCTTTGGCTCAGGTCATGACCCCAGGGTCCTGGAATCCAGAAACTGGAATCCAGGGAGCCTGCTTCTCCCTCTCCCTCTGCCCCTTCCCCTGCTTGTGCGCTCACTCTCTCTCTCGCTCTCTCTCTCTCTAGCAGATAAATCCCAGACCTGTAGTAGTCACTCTTCTTATTTATCTATTTATTTATTATTAACATAAAATGTATTACTTGTTTCAGGGGTGCAGGTCTGTGAATCATCAGGCTTACACGGTTCACAGCACTCACCATAGCACATGCCCTCCCCAATGTCCATGCCCCAACCACCCCATCAGTCCCAACCCCCTCCACTCCAGCAACCCTCACTTTGTTTCCTGAGATTAACAGTCTCTCTCTCCTTTTTTTTTTTTTTTTTTTTTGAGATTAACAGTCTCTTATGGTTTGTCTCCCTCTCTGGTTTTGTCTTGTTTCATTTTCCCTTTCTTACCCTCTGATCCTCTGTCTTGTTTCTCCAATTCCTCATATCAGGGAGATCATATGATAGTTGTCTTTCTCTGACTGACTTATTTCGCTCAGCATAATACCCTCTAGTTCCATCCACGTCGTTGAAAATGGCAAGATTTCATTTCTTTTGATGGCTGCATGGTATTCTATTGTGTATATAGACCACATCTTCTTTATCCATTCACCTGTTGATGGACATCTAGGTTCTTTCCATAGTTTGGCTATTGATAAAATCTTTAAGGAGAAGAAAATGAAGCTTGAGAGTCATATACCAAAATAATATTATTTGTCTGTAGGCAAGAGGATGATTTTTTTTAAAGATTCTATTTATTTATTTGACAGAGAGAGACAGAGAGATCACAAGTACACAGAGAGGCAGGCAGAGAGAGGAGGAAGCAGGCTCCCTGCCGAGCAGAGAGCCCGGCGCAGGGCTCGATCCCAGGACCCTGAGATCATGACCTGACCTGATCATGACCACTGAGCCACCCAGGCATCCCAAAAGGATGATTTTTTTAACTTTCATTTTTACTCACGTTTTCTCATTAACTAACTTTTCTAGAAGGAACATACATTATGTAATAAAGAAGTAATGATAGCATTTTATAGTACTTGTAATACATTCCAGTACCACCTAATTAGAGGTGCTAAGAATAAACAAAATTATTAAGTTTAAAAAATTAAATACTACTGCACTTTTTGCCTTTATCTTCTCCTCAGCTAGGCTTAGCCTTTCTCAAGAGATCAAATTTAGGGGCACCTGGGTGGCCCAGTCTGTTAACTGGCTCTTGATTTCAGCTCAGGTCATGATCTCAGGGTCTTGGGATAGAGCGCCTGTGAGTCTGCTTGTCCCTCTCTGTCTGCCCCTCCCCCACCCCTATCTCCCCTACTCCCGCACCCCCCAAATAAATAAATAAAATCTTAAAAGAAGAGAGAAAGCGATTTTATTCCTAAGTATCTAGGACCAACACAGCTGAATCTAATCTCTTTCTCCTTTCTTGGGCAAAGGACAGTGGGCCCCAAAGTTGGCCAGACTTCATTATTCCGGATCGGTCAATGCCTGGAGCACCAAGGATCCCTTCTCCTGGATCAAGGTTAGAAAGCACGTCACATTCAGTCATGTCATGATTCCTCTTGCAAGCTCAAAACAAAAGTCATTTTTATCAAACTCCAGGTAACCAACAGAGAAAGAACAGAGTGGCTTCTGCTTGTTTGCTAGTCCGATCCGGTAAACTAACTTGGAGCCAATGACTGAGACAATGTCTTTAGGGTTACTCAGTTTCTTTTTAAATGACTAGATCTTTCAAATTTTCTCATTTTCCCATTTCCTCTAGAGAAGCACTGTCCAATATGATAATTATAATCTGAACCACAAATGCAAACCACATGTGTAATTTTGTATTTCCTAATAGCCACATTTAAAAAGAAACATGTGAAATTCATTTTAATAATATATTATATTTCATCCAACATATCCAAAGATTTTATCCAGTGAACATGGGTTTACTCATGGCTCTGACCCCTTCGAAGGCGAACATATAGGGACTTGCTGCATGAGCGCTGAGGGCAGCGTGGAAATGCCAGCGCAGCCTGTCAGCCTCACTGCGACAGTAGGTTCCCTCTAGAGCCCGAGCGTGCCCCCTGCCTCTGGTACTCACTGCCCAAAGACTGCCAGTTACGACTCAGTTTGAACTTACTACTCGCAAATTCCTGAGAATTTTTGTTTCTTGGGAAGCTGCCCAACCCCATTTTCTGACCTTGCATTTCTTTCAAACTTACGTGTATCCCTGAGTGGCGGACACTGTCATCTCTCCCTCTGTTGTTCCATTGATTTATTTATTTATTCCCCATTTGGGGAATTATATGTCCTTCACTGGCTACAACCTAATGAGACTAGTAAATAGAGTGCCTTTTCCACGCCCAGCCAAAGAACCCGAGTCGTACACCGTGTTCAGGTCCCACACACTAGATTTGGCCCATTGTTCCAGCTTGTCAAGCTTCTGTCTCCCAAAGAATTTCTTAGTCTTCCCAGTTTCACTGAATTTACTGCTTGATCAGTAAACATTTTTATACGTTAGCCAATGCATGATCAATATATTGAAGAAGACAGGGCTTCCTTACTGTGTGCTTTAAACAACTTCAAGCATTTTTTTTTTTAGATATTGAAGGTTGTGTGTGTGTGTGTCCTTTTTTTTTTTTAAAGATTTTATTTATTTATTTGACAGACAGAGATCACAAGTAGGCAGAGAGAGAGGAGGAAGCAGGCTCCCCGCCGCACAGAGAGCCCGATGCGGGGCTCGATCCCAGGACACTGGGATCATGATCTGAGCTGAAGGCAGAGGCGTGAACCCACTGAGCCACCCAGGCGCCCCCAATTTCAAGCATTTTTAACAAATCCTCACCACACTGTTACTGTCACCCTCATTTCAGATAAGAAAGCTGAAGCAAAGAGAAGTCACTTGCCCCAAGTCATATAGCCAATGAGTGGTTAAGCCGAAATTCAAACCGTGATCGTTGGGGTCCAGAGGCCTCATTTGTAATCGTTATACTCTGCTGTTTCTAGAACCCCCTTTAGGTTGATAATCATCTACTAACGGCCACAGTTTGCTTATGGTAATTGAACCAGTTACAAATCCACCTAATTGTATTATCAGCCAATTCTGTATTAAATCTCCTCATCCTCAAGGTGCTTTTTTTTTTTTTTTTTTTTTTAACCATCTGTCCTACTAAAGCCCAGGTATACAATTTTTTTTTTTTTGTTA